AAGAAAAAAAAAAAAAGAAGCCTTTTCGGGCAGCCCTACCTCCTTCCTTTCCTCCCTCCCACCATCCCGCCTCCCCATCCCTCCCCGCCCCGCGGCCGCCCGGCTCCGGCGCTGCCCGAACAAAGGCGAGGCTCGCCGGGCGCGGGGCAGCGCCCCCAGCTCTGCCCCGGTGCCCCAGTCCCACCTCCCGGGCCCTCGCTGCAGCGGGACCCCGCACGGAGATGCTCCACAGCGAGAACCAAATCTTCTCCCAGCTTAGGGCGCTGCCGCCGCGTGAGCTGGAGGTAAACATCCCGTTTGGAAACATCTCGGATCTTTTCCAGATGTGGAAACAGGGGAACTGAAGATGCCCCATTCCTGGCAGTGTCCAAGTCCAGGTTGGATGGGGCTTGGAGCAACCTGGGATAGTGGAAAGTGCCCTTGGCCATGGCAGGAGCTTGAAAAAAACCCGAGTTTTATGGTCCCTTCCAACCCAAATCATTCCATGATCCCATTTTATGTTTTTAACTTCCCTCTCCTCCTGTTTTTGGGGGGAAACAGACAGAAGGAGGTGCTGGCCTTACTCCTGGATGCCCTCTTGCTGGCTCTCCAAGGAAAACCCACACTCCTTGGGTTTTCCAAAGGGCATCACCACAGCTCCAGAGCTGGGACCCCACAGTTCAATACATGCTGTGCTTCCTCAGGCTCCTCCTCCTCACTGCCCTGACAAGGGCAAATAAACCCGGTACCCCCCTAAAAAAACTCAACAGAACTCAACAAAGCCAGCACCGTGCTAAAAGGGCTTCCCACATCACAGAACCATGGAATGGTTTGGGTTGGAAGATCAAGATCATCGTGCTCCACCCCTTTGCCGTGGGCAGGGACACCTTCCACCATCCCAGGGTGCTCCAAGCCCCAGTGTCCAACCTGGCCCTGGACACTTCCAGGGATGGGGCATCCATCAGCACAGAGAGCAAACCTCCTGGCACTGTTTCCATTTGCTGTGTCCAGCTAATTTTTTCTTCTGGACGGGACTCCAAGGCCAGCTCCAGGGCGGGGGCTGTGCTGAACACCAGGAGCACCAGTTGTGCTGGTTGTGCTGGGATTTCACTGCCGTGGGGCCCAGCGGCTCTTCGGGTTACACTGAGCAACCCAAAACCTTTCTCAAGAGGTCATTCCTGCCTTGGGGAACTCGTCATCCAAGCTGCCACACAGGCCAGAGCACGAGGGAAAAGGCAAGCAGGGAAAACAACGTGCCAGCCTGCAAGCTTCCTGGCAGAAATTAGGATTCTGGTTTTGAGTTTCTTTGGTAGGACCCCAGCTGGAGCTTTGTTCCCAACCCCTCAGCACAGCAATGCCCAGAATGGCAGGAAAGGATCACTGCTGGGGAAAATGCCCTGCTTCCCTCCACTGCAGGTGTGGGAGGATGGTGGGGCAGCTGGGTGCCAGGAGGAGGATCCAGAGGTGGAGATGGGGAACCCCTTGGAGATGGTCCTGCTGCAGCCATTTCTGGTGAGGCACCACTCTCCTGTGTTCTGCTGCCAGAGCATCCCTCCAGAGGAGGGTGGAGAGCCTTGCCTTCCAGCTGGGTGACTGGGTTGGGTTTTGGGGCAAAGAGGAGGAGCTGAGGCCGCAGTGATCAAAATCCAATCCAAAATTCCCTGTAGCTAAATCCACAGGATGCCTCCAAAAGGAGAGAGGAATACATTTACTTCAAGTGGAGAATTTCAAGCTGGAAGAGAAACAGATTTTAATTCCCAATTTAAGTCTTTTCATGCTTCTGTTGCTTCATGCAATCTATAATTAAAGAGCAGAAATGATCTGCAAGAGATTCTTTTCAGAAGAGATAGAAAAAGAATTTGTGCTCCGAGCATTTCGGATGATTGTGGAAGATACGCACCCGCTGGAGCATCAAAGCTGGAATGAGCCCTTATTTTGGCTGAATAGATTTATGAGGAAACACGGAATAAAGGGCATACTTTACTTGTGAAGAACAGCTCTGGAAAGCATCATTTAATTACTGTTTTTCAGAGACAAAAACTATTTCTTCATCCACAAGATCTGTGAATTCATCCAGTCCCTCTAGACTTTTATGCCTCCCCTGATGTTACCAAATCTGTGTTTGGCAGGCAGTAAAAACTTGGCTGAATGACAATGGCAATGACCTGACACACAACTTGCCTCATTTATTACGTTCTAAAGATAATAATTAAACGTGTTTGAGTACCCGTGACATGCTGGATCTGGTGAAAAAACAACTTCCAAGGGTATCTCTCAGGCTCCTAGATGACAAGATGTTCATTTGTCACCCACGCAGTGACACTAAGTGTTGGTCTTATCTGCCAGAAATATTCATATAATAATATTAGTGGATTTTGGTGTTATCTCTATCATTTAAGTCAGAAAAATTTATTTATTCAAGCCTTTTTCTTCCCTGTTCTTGTCATAGAGGATGGCAAGAGAAGCAGCAAGGCAACTTCCCCTTGTCCTTTCCCTCCTGTCCTTCCCCTCTGCCTTGGCCCTTCCATTCTCCTCCTTGTCTCCTGGCTTTGCCTTTCCCAGCCTTTAACTCTGTCCCACCCTTCTCCCTGACTTTAGGCTTAACCTTTTCCTTTCCGTTTTGGAGTCCAAATGGCTCCTTTCCCTGGTTTTCCCCTCCTCGGGTGCTATTTTATCTCATGCCCCCATTTCCTTCATGGATAATGCACTCTGCAATTCTTTATGATTCAAGGCTTCCCTCTGCAGCCTGGAGATTTACCAGGGACACGGGTTTGGGGACTTTCCCATTATTTAGGTGACCCCTAGGCCTGGGGAGGAGCAGGTTTTCCTTCCAGCTTCCAGAGAAGAAAGCTGACAACAGCTGCTGTTTCTAAAATCCCAAAGCAGGCTCCTTTTCCTGCAGGAAGCTGCAGCCAGTATTCCCAAAGCCTGATTTCCATCCTGCAGTGCCAGTTTCTGGCCATCCTGAAATGCTGCAGTGTCCCACCAGGTACCACTCAGAGCCAGAGCCCAGGTGAAATGTTCCAAATCCCCTCCACCAGCAGCAGATGCAGCTATTGACCCCCAAATACAAGGAATCTTGATTTTGAGGGCAGGAAAAACCTTCACAAAAGGCTTTCTTTTGTAAGAAATACTTCAAAAGGAAGTATTTCTTACAAGAAAAATAAAATAAAATAAAACAGAAACAAACAAAAAAACCCAAACAAAAAAAACCCACCAAAACAAACCCACTTAATTTTGTCTATTTTTGTGCCTTTATGGACACTGGTTGTTTTGCTCAGCTGTACAAACCTCCTGGAGGGAAGGCATTAGTGTTAATAAAATTGTAGCAATCCCCACCAATTACCTAAACTGGCTTTTCTGCCCATAATATCATGAGTTTGGGAGCCAGGAGCTCGGGGTATACAGAGTGAGAAGACAAGGCTGTATTTCCAGCTCTAGCTCACCATGTCTTCTTCCCAGAGATTTAAACCTTCTGTTTGTTAATCCCAAAGGCTCTGAAACAGCTGCCCCTGCGCTCAGGTTGCGCAACCAGCTTCTCACCACGGGCTGATTTCTGGCAAGAAGTGGTCAAAATCACCAAAAAAAAAAAAAAAAAAAAAAAAAAAAAAAAAAAAAAAAAAAAAAAAAAAAATTAAAGGAGAAGAAGGGGGGAGAAAGTGTTTTGCAGCTGTTTGGGTTAGTTTGAGGTTTTAAAAGCAGCTGGAAGAAGGAAGAAGCACTGGGAGGGATGGCTCAGCATCCTAGGCACAGGTAAATTGGGACAGGGATTTTACCTGATGCTTATCCCCATCCAGGTGCAATGCATCGATCATTGTCACTGCTAGAAAGGAAGGGATGGGACTATTTTCAGGCTAAGAACCATTTATTGCTGAGATAAACATCAGTCTCAGAGGCTGTGAGGTTTTAGAGGAGCGAGCAGTCGGCCACAGCTCAGAGCAGTCACAAGTTCTTTGTTACAAGGCAATACAGAACTTTCTAAGCCCATGGACAGATGCCACAAGGTTCACTTTGCTTTTCTAACCTACCACCTTTGCTTCACTGTGGATACTTTTATCTAATGGGCTTCTGTCACACTTAAACACAGATGCTTCTATTGTAACTTCTGAACTCTCAGTTTATTCCATACAGCCCCACCCCTACATTACAGACCCTTCACCATCTCATCAGTGCAGTTTCTCACTTAAGGCATATTCTTACTTACAACTATAGAAGCATAAGTTTATTATTTTTCTGCTTAATATCAGTGTGTTGTATTTTTACAATCAACCCAAGCTTCTCCCAAGGCTGCAGATCAAACCCTTCGGTGTCTGTGGAAGTTTCTGTTTTTCCGATTCCCACACGCATCCACGCTCAGAACAAGGCAAAGCTTGGCGGGGGAAGCATCCCAAACCCACCGTGCGGGGACCTGGAGCCTCAGCAGGCTCCCATCGCGCCCTGCCCTGCGAAGGGAGGCAGGGATGGAAGCAGGAGCACGGCGGGCTGTGGGTGAGCGAGCATGACCTCATCCCTCAGCCATGCGGAGCTGCCCCGGGATTAGCGCAGGGAGCAGCCGCTGCTGCAGCACCGGGGCAGCAGGGGAGGGAAAACCCCCCGAGCATCTTGCCCTCCCTCTCCACAGCAGCCCCTGGCTGGAAAACACCCCTCTTCCAGGATTTCAGCTCTTTTCGGGGGGATGTTTTTAGGAGTCCTGCTGGAAGAGCACGAGGGAGAGTCACGAAGATGTTGTGCTGGTCCAGGAGAGGAGCAGGAGAAGCACGAGCCTGGATTTTGGAGCAGGCAGGGAGGGAGGGAGCTGACAGACACATCATCTGGTCTCCGGCTGCCCCGAGGCACGATCATTCCTGGCAGATCTCTCCCTAATCCCTACTTTAAGACCTCCAAAGATGGAGGGA